ATCAGACGTGCAGACAGCACCAAACGCAGCTACTGCGCCGTACACCGCGGCCAAGAGACAATGAGTCTTGAATCGCGACATCTTCTGCGAATCTCTCAACGACTGGCTTGAGATCGTAGTAACGAATGTATGAATGGGCGTACTTGGCAACCCCTGTCTGACAAAAGAGCCGATGGACGAGAGTTGCGATGACCGGCGGAGCACCTCCATTCTATATGCCATATAGAACATCGCTAACATGTCGAATATCCGCCTTGAGTTGCGCCAGGCTCTTGGCCGCAGAAGCCCAGGTTGCGTGTGGTTCGATCCAACTACCCTCAGCTGAATTTCCATGCGACCCGGGCACAGAGGATGCCACTATGCAGTAGCATAGATGCGGGCCGTGGCGTCACTCATGCATTTTCCTCGGGACCGCTAGAAAACGTTGACCTCTCACAATGGAACTTGGCGGTCGCCAATTGTTCGATGTTTCCCCCGCTCGCGGACCGGGCCAGGAAGGGCTGAATACGGAGACGCATTCGATGGCGTTTTCAGGACCCCGCGGCAGCGCATTGTACCCCGGACTCCAGCCCATCGGTGTCGTGCATTCTCCTAAGGAAAGTCCGGGCCGGCGGTCCAAGGTTGTATCAACTGCCTCTAAGGCTCCATCCGCGCCAACATCTTGTGCCTTAATGGTCAATCTCATAAACGTCAATTCGATGTGGAGTCGGTGAGCCTCCAAGCTTACGTGAGCATGCCATGGCGCTAGTAAGCAATAGTCTCGGAATACGATGCTTGGCGCAGTCAAACCTGGTGGAATTTCCACCCGGTGAACGAAGCCATCGGGGAGGAGAGGAGAATAGACGGCACATAACAACGCGCGATGTGTATTCGTAATTATGCGACAAGCAGGCCCTCAACTCTTCGTCGGAATTGAGCTGAAAATCAGAGAAGGCGGCGCATTTGTATCAGACGAAAGTACACCGAATCTTGGGCGCAGAGTCGGATCAACACACATTACGTTTCTAGTTTCCTAAGCAGGAAGGTGATAGTGCCAATCAACCGTGTTCGACATACATGTAAGTTCACTGCGGGGGTTAACAGGAACCTGAAGTCTTCACCAGCATTCATTCACGCTTTAAGTAAGGATTAAGATTTATCAAGCAAATCATGTAACTAAAAGCATCGTGAGAATGAAACAAGCTAACAAACTAAAGGCTGAGCGAGACTGCTTACGTAGAGCTCCCATGTTGTTGCCACGGAGTCTGGCAAGGTCAACTGACGCTGCTGGGGCAGCGACATAACACCACGACTTCTAGGGATGCTTGTTGCGGCCAGTGAATACTAGCACACCACCACTGTCATCATCGCTTCCACTGTCGTCTCCGTGGGCAGCGACGCTCCAAGTATCTTCAACGTTGCTCGATCTACTCTTCGCAAAAAACTGGAAACCGCGCTGGCGAGACGAGATGGATAGGCCTCCGATCCGGGACGACAGGTCATCCAAAGTGACTGAAATGCCAGTAAGCGGCTGACATGTTGGCATCGATGACGTATCAGTGTCGAACCTCTTGCGCTCGGAAACCTTCTCTCTAAGCGCAGTGAAAGCAGCTTCGCGGACCTTTGCCAGGACCGCATCAATCATCTTGTCTTTGGTCTTCGATATCTCACCCTCTTCCAAGACATCTGGGACGGTCCAGCTGGGGTAGACGTTCTGGTGGGTAGGCCGGACTCTAACACCGCTGCTGTGCGCAGCAAAGTAGTAATCGCAGAGTCGACAGGTAGGCTTGCTGCATCCGATGTACTTCATACCTTCATAAAAAGGAATGGAGTGCATATCTTCCGCAAATTCTTTACGGAGCCAGTCGAGAAGAAGAACCTCACTGTGAACAATTGGTTTGAACGCCTTGCAACACTGAGTCGCAATCCGGCCATCTAAATCGCAACGTTGGAGCTCATCAGCGTATTGGCAATATGTCTTCATCATCTCCTCGTCACTTGTCATCCGTGATAGGATATCATGCGCTGAACGGGTCGTTTTCTTTTGCATGGGGTTGAGGCCAGCTTGAAACGCGTTCATCGGGTTAGGTAGTGGCTTGCTCGAAGCTACAAACTTGATCTTGATACCATCAAGATCAAAAAGTTCCGGATAACGCTTTCGTGCCATGAATAGGATCTGGGTTACCCTTAGGTAAGACACTAGTCGTCCAACAAAGTGTTGCAAATCACACCAGTACGGAGACTCGTCGACTTTTCCGGATTTTCCTCTGTCCACAATGGAGTGGTAGATTGTTGATTGACGTAGCTGTGTGGCTGCGTGGACGAGCGCCTCGTTGTTCTTTGGATTCTCTCCTGCAATGGACGGGTCAGTATGGTCCTCTTATGACTTCAATGAAATCAAAAACGCATCCTTACTTGAACTTTGGCTCTTAAGAGACGCCTCGGAGTCGTCTGCCACACGTTGGAGCTCCAACAAAGACGTTTTGACCGATGAATCTTTCAACAATGTCAGAATGGTCGCACCGAGGCGAGATGTTTCGAACTCACTCTGTCCAGACTCACGCCTGTCGCAATCTGCGATGCATTGAGACAAGGCCCCGGCTAGTCCTGCTCGGTAACACTGGATTCGTCTGCGATGGAAGTACAGAATCTGGCCGAGAACATGCTGGAATGACTTCGAAGTAATATCGTCCTTAGAATCTGACGGTGTTGCATCTGTCTCACTCAAATATTCGAGAACGCTGAAGATAAACTCCTCCACCTCCGCGACCTCTTTTGCAGATCGTTGGTTGGATGCAAAGGTGTAGATCAAGATGTCAGGCAATTGAATGATGGCCACAGATGTTACGGTTTTAACTCCACGCTGGTTGTCGCATATCTGAGCTAACTTGTTCATGAAGCATTCTAAAATTGCTCTGTGGTTTTCACCTGGCTCCGCAACGTCGCTGAAAGGTTGGTCGAGTTGCTGCCCACTGGTGGGACAGGCTTGAACCAGACTGTGCAGAAGAGTCAAAGCTTCGTAGAATCTGTTCAGCCTTTTGCAGAGCCTGAGACTGATGGGATGGTCTAGACCGTCGGCCGTCATCATTTCTGTCAGAGTGGTTTCTAATTGTAAGTCGAAATGTTTGCAAGGATTTGTAGACAATATCTTACTTGGACCCGATCCCTTAGCGGAACTACGTGTGTTCGATTTGCCTTTGGCCATCTTGAATGAGGGTGGTTGAAGAAAACCTGATCAAAGTTGGGCTGTATACTCCTAAGATAGATATTTCGCAATATTTGACAAAGTGAGAACTGGCTGTGTGTGCCTCACATATCAATTGAACATCAAGGAAGCGACAACTTTTCTCATATTTAAGCGAAGCCGGATTGCTACAGGAAAGTATGCAAGAGAGTCACGCAAGGTATCCCAACCAGCATTCATGAGCAAGCTTCCTCTGATCCGGCCATGGCGGGGCCCGAGGCGGACAACTATCGCTGACTCGGAGCAAAACTCGACAAAAGAGTCCGAAAAGGACTCGGGCGCGCATATGCGTAACTCGCCATTCCGCGACCTCCGTTGTTAATCGTATAAGCGTATTACACGTATTCATTGGCAACCAACTGCCCAATTTGCAATCACACCCACTCACTTCGAGTGGGCGGCTAATTTCGTGCAACGCGGGAGGCCGGTGAGGCCAACGATGGAGGTTGTAAAAGGCTGTTGGTTCTGATGTTGGCACACAATATGTTGGGTACTGCCCTCGAACAATGGTATCAATGCAGGGCGGAGTGAGAGACTGATACAATGCTTCGAGGCATATTACAAGGCATTTTGATGTCAATTCGATTGGCGTCTGCTGCATATCTACTTAGGCAGCAAACCGGTCGCCCAAATGGTCCAACAACTATCAGACGCCATAAGCCAGCCTAAAGCCTCCTGCCAATTGGCCGACGAGCGCGTGGGGTCCGTTGGACTCCCGCATTGTGACCTGCAACAGGCTGCAAAGTACATTAGCCCCATCTCGTCAAGCCAGCCAAATCCGAGAAGTTCACCGAGTTTCGTCTCCACTAAGGTAAGACGAGGTGCTTTGGAACGGAGGCCAAGTTTCCAGCCAGTCTTAGAAGCACGCACGAATAGTGTCGTTGGGGTCGAATGTCAGGCGACGAATGATCCGCCATTTATGAGAGGTGCCAACAAGCACGTCAAGGGAAGTCGGAAGAAAAAGAAAGAAGTGTAAAAACGAGGATTTCTGGCCAAAGCGCTCTATTTCACATTGGTGTTTCCTTTGAGAGTCAAAAACTTTAAGAAGGGCCTTGGTTTCCGGTCAAAGTCATCACAGGTGGCATCCTACTAGCTCGCAAGTTGCCTACGTGTGGGTTCTGGTTAAGCACAATTTTCTCCTGCTGACAGAATACTTGATCAACATTGCTCATTCCCATATCATCTCAGTCTGTCCTATCACCTCAACTAGTCTAAGAAGACACAAGTGTATCAGCGAACAAATCCATGTAAAAAAACATGTGAGTATTGAGATGTTCCCGCAGCGTGTTTTGAATTGGGTGCCCACCTTTTTGGTCCTAGTTGTGGATATTCATGACTATGGAACTATGGAAACACTGCGGGAGGCCTGCGCTAACGACACCGCGTCAGTTTGGAGCTGATATCTTATTTCTGAGAGGAGCCATTTGTTTCTGTAAGTCTGAGCCTTGTCTGAAGTATTTGGAGGTATGTCATCTTAGGGAAATTGAGGCATTGCGGCATCGGAGATTTGGCCAAGTTCTCTTTAACAAGTGTCACACGCAGAAAGACGAAGGGCACAGCCAGTGAAATCATCTGAGTGCTGAACACCGCATCGGGGACACGAGCTCAAGTCCATTTTCTACCATGGGTCGAGAGTCTCGATATTACGGAACCCCTCCGGAAACTCACGGCTATTCTGGCACCAATGAGCCAGGGGGTTGGCCAACTGCGACAGGTGGCTACATAAACGACCTCCATGCCCCAACTGACGATCTAAGCCACCATCCGCTGTTCTATCACTCTCAAATGAGACCAAGCACCGCTGACTGTTCCATCGAGCGATCTGACTATCAGTCTTCTGAAACCGCATCTCAAGCGCTCTAGGCGTTTCGGGGTGGATCTTCGCACAGGGTCAGTTCCCACCAGCGACCATCACAGGGACCAGAAGGTTGGAGCGATATGGATGCCGAAAAGTACGCTCAGGAGGCGATGCAGACCGGTCATATCCCTCCCGATATGCTTCCCGACTTGAGTGCTCCTCAACAGCGGCAGCAACTCCAGTATGTTTGTACCGACCCAGGCTGCACCAGAAGCTATGGGAAGAGGCATGAGCTCAAGTAGGTTTAGAAATCTCACTCTGTTTCTGCTGGATTCTGATATTGGAGACGCAGTCGGCACATGAGGAAGCACAGCAAGCCATGCGCTTGTTCCGTTGAAAGTTGTGCTGAGCGGTTTGCGGATAAGAAGAGTTTGGACCGACATCAGGCCACCCATGGAATTGGAAGGGATTCACTTGACTGTCCTGACTGCACCAAAAAGTTCACAAGGGCTGATAACCTATCCCGCCATCAGCAGAATAAGCACTCGAAAGGCTAAAGAGGCCCTGATTTCAGAATGGATCCAAGCAATACCTTTATGTTACATTTCTGGTTGTAGTTTGCGTTTATGGATAGTATATTTATCATTTGGTATTTGATACTCAAAGCATTGCCAGAAACTCAACTTCGGTCCATGATTGACAGGTACTTGGGATTCCAAGGCCCCTGCTTAACATCCATCTTCGTCAGAACTTGACTTTCGATTCCTTTGCGCAATCTGGATATAGTAGGCCTTATTGTTGATACATAATGTTGCACTCTTCCCTTGAGTAGCTTTGATTTGCATTGTTGCTGGCCAGAGTTCCAGTCTTACAAGTCGTAAAATTTGTTCAATAACGTTCGTTCAGATATGTGAATGCCCATGTCGGTAATTGACATGAAAGATGCCTTCCAGCCAATGAATGGACAAGTCAGTCACACTTAGATTCATCTCGAATGCTCCATGAACTACGTCCTCAAGATAGAAGGCTTGCTCTCATTGGCCGATTACCGTGCACATCTCACAAGCTAATGCCGGAGGCCAACTCCATGGCGCTGCGAGCTAACCTAATGAAAAGCAGCAGATGACTCTCATCATACACTTTCGTGCTGTAAGGTATCGAGAAAAGGGTTGGTTGCACGTCCTAGCGGCTATCTGCTTCCTTGCTTGTTATGAAGCAGTATGGCAATACCATCAACAATGATCGAAGGTGACTTCGAGTGCTTCAAGATTTTGAACCTCTAAGACAATTTGCTGTAACAGTTATCACTGCATGGCATGACGCATGCAGGCAGCGACCGAGTTTGGCCGGAGCGAACATTGGACAACTGCTTACGAGACTTGCATGTACCAACCGCGGGAGGGAGCAGAGAATCTATTGGACGGACTGGTACTTTGGTAATCGACTTTTTTGCACATATTTAAAGAGGGCCCTCTTCAGATTTGCAAGCTTTAGTCCGTTCACTACCTCCCACGTCAATTGCCCAAGGTTTTGGGGTATCGGTGCGTAGATTACCACCCTACAGGACTGGAGTCACTGCGGGAGGCCGTCTTCGTCAGTAACTTCACGGAGAGGACCGAAGAAATTAAGACTTTTTCGTTCATTCGCCAACAATAGTGCTCTTCTACCCTGTGCTGTGGGGAAATCAGGCCGTGAGTTTACTCTCGTTAGCTTTAGAACGAGTACTCTATTGACACCAACATGTGTGCAACAGGGTGATATTTGCCAAAATGCAGGGCTTGATACTTGACGAGGGGCAATCAGATGACATGTTCTGTTCTTTGGGCACGGCATGGCAATCTGAGGCTTTCACCGGGGATGACCGATGCTTGTATCAGTTGGACTCGGCACCTAACGGCACACTCGGTCCAACCAATGCTGTCTGTTTGCCTGACCCGACTTTTCAGAGTCATCACTTCACCTCTTTTGGTCATTTTCCCGAAACCACACCTTTAGGGCCTTAGGCTGCTGAGGGTGGATTGCCGCGATGGGGAAACCCCCAGTTTGATCAGCGGCATTCACAGGGTTCGGAGGGATTGACTATGAATGATGAAGAGGCAACGGTTCGGGCTGCTCAAATTGCGTTTGAGATTCGACATGTGTGCGAGTCTTGTGGAAAAATATTTTCACGGCCTGGGGATCTCACGTGAGTCTTTTCAGTTGTTAGGATTCTTAAGGAACCATAGTGACCCATTCCCAGGAAACACCGAGACAGACATATCCGGCCTTTCCATTGTCTTGTTTTCACTCCAAAAGCAGTGCCAAGCCAGTGCCGGATGGAATTCGCTACCGAGAAAGATTTAAATCGGCATCACGAAGTCAATCACGAGAAGAGGAAAATCGCAAGGAAGTACACATGCGCCGACTGCGGACAAAAATTTACCAGAGATGATAATCTCGTGCGCCACGTTAGGAACAGGACTTGCAAGCCTCGTGAAGAAAGGGAATTATGAATGGGATGGAGACGTCTGCTCCTAGACATAGAGCATCTCAGGTAAGAATGTCACTTACAGCCAAGCCATCAAAGTCTTTGATCGGGGAGACGAAATGAGTTCACGCATTTGTGAAGGGCTAGCCTGCAGAAGCGGGCAAAAGTGGTAACCAGCACATCTTCTAACCTTCAGGTCACAATTGATTTCTCTTGTCCTCACTCCACGAGTCACTGGGTATTCCCTACCGGGCAGCACAATTGGCCACTTTCTTCCACGGCCTTCATTAAGCTTCAAGTTGAAATTAAATCACTAAATCCATTTTAACATCATAGAACAAGGGAAAATATCCAGGTATAATAGTGTTGGTGTACACGTCAGCAGGGCAACCGTACGGTTAAAACGAAGGGTCGATAACGGTATGTATTGGCTGCGTATGGAGGAAGAAGTAGGAAGTCGTAGGCAGAGCCCACGATCTCTCAGAGATGGTGTGTAAATGGAAAGGCCGTTTCCATGGCCTATGCCGCCTTCCAGGTCCACCCTTTCTGCCGACTGCTCAGATATCCAACAACAAAGCTCCGTCTCAATGGCACCAACTAATGTACAAATCTGACACGCCTCTCATACATAGCTCAACTCTCACTCACTAGCGGCCATGGAATGTGCGGCTCCCAAAAGCCCTGATCTAATCCCTTGAATATCAGCCGCTGGACCGCAGCATATGATGCGATGGACTTGCCGCTGCAGGCGGTGGGAGCACGTGCGTGCTGGGTTGAAAGTTCTGCGTGGGTGTAACCCGAGTACCGACTTCCATATTTTCAGTGCGGGGTGGAATAGTTCGCAGTGCAGCAAGCCATGGCCGACGCGCTCCTGAGGCAGCGGTTCTAGACTTCCGTCGGTCTTTCAAAGATTCACTCATTCTCTGCAGGATTTTAGGGCATGCAAGGGCGAAGATGGAACCCCAGAACGCTCCCAATGCCGGTGAAACAAGTGGCATTACAGTTGATGATACCAGAGATATGATTTCTGAGCGAGCCCAGCCGCCGTTTCCAGGCTTGTCGCCTGAGGGGAAGTTAGCACAGTCTACTTGAATGGTCAACCTCAGGCGGGGACAAGATATAGATTCACCGGAAACGTCTAGCAACAACATCACAGAGATTATAGGAATGGGGTTGAGCAAGACAATAAGATGCAGAAGGAAGGTTAAGAAGGCCACTTACCAGTAGCTGGTTGTGATGTGTTAGACTTGCACTGGAAGTTGAAGTAGATGTTTCTCCGGGAAAAGTCCAAAAGAGACGCGTGTCCAGGGCTTTCATCCTGCTTTCAGAACCAGTATCATGTCTAAAATTATATCATTCCACCACTTGGAATACTTACTGATGCAAAACGTACATGATAGTTCATAAACAGGAACAGTACCATCACAGACGCACCATGCGTGGTACCAGTATGTTTTTGCTGGAATAAGTCGCCCCAAAGCACCAAAATCTGAATGATTCTGAAACCCCTGGTAGAATTGTCGTTATCGAATACCGCAATCCATAAAGCCGAGGCGTAGTAAAGTCCCACTTGGGCTTCATGTCGGGTTCGGTCGCCGCCTCTTGACATTCGAAAACTGTTCCAGAGTTCCCTGACCATATCAAAACACAGCACCAAGGTAGTTACTCGGTGAATCATCAATGATAAGAGGGGCATATGTCTATCCAGGATCAATATAAGACAGATGACGGCTCTCCCTACTGTTAAGACAGCCTCGTCAAGCTTTCGTTGGGTGAAGGTGTTTCGAAGGACTTCCATCGAGCTTTACTCCCGAACGACCAGGTTCCTGTGGGCTATTTATTTCGTTAGTTTTCGGATTATTCAATCCAGAAAGACCTATCTGATTGCTTCTCCGTACATTGGACTTTGAGCAAGACGGGAGGAAGACTCACGGTATTCTCAAATGATAACCGCTGCAGACACGCGTTTATGTGGTGGTTCTTTTGCAAACCATGGAGTAGAGTCTTATCTTCGATGTAGAGATTTCAACTGGAAGCTTACTAGATGGGGATTCATCTTCAAGTGCCAAAGAGAGACTTGTGTTATTTATGACTCCTTCCAACATCGCGACAACTTGGCGACAATAGAATTGAGCCTTCAAACACCACGAACGCCATTTCTACACAGTTTTTAAAACAGTGCGCAGGCAGTAGATAATGGAAAATACGTTTGTCTTCTTTCAAGAGTGGCCGCTTTGTTCAGAGCTGAAATTGCTGAAGGGTGTGGGCTGATTACACTGAGTAACTCATTCCAAGCCACTCTCCTCTTAGTGTCTCTAATGTCCAATCAGTCGACTCTCGCGGGCTTTCTCATCAAAATGGAGTGTTCGCCTTGAGACATTGACTTTCACCTTCCCGTTTAGCCGATTTATTTTGAGTCTCAATCGTTCCGTTGACAACAGTAGTGCCTCATCAAGTACTGTTACATCAACCAACGGACTGGCCGTCATTCTTGGGAAGCATTCTTAACCTTGTTCGCCTATGGCACAGCTTCCATTCGTCTAGAGGCGCGTTTTCCAGCTGCGTTGCTATGTATTTCTCTCGTGCCACGAGGGGCAAGTCACGTAGCTTTGTCTTGCATAATGCATTGCGTCTGGTTTGACACCACTAAGATACATGGTCCGCTCACTCTGGGGTTCGTTCATTGTGAAAAAGATGAGTAGCCACGTGCAACATGTAGGGTCTATCAGAACCTCTAGCATTGCATAACACTCTTTGGACTCATGTTTGTGAAATTTTGCGATGTTTCTACCTGAGACCATGTGCCCACGGCCGTTTTCGTGGAAGGCACATCTGTGCCAATACCGCACAGAGAACAGTGGATTTTGCGCGAAATAACTAGCAATGGGAGATACTTCCTGTGTGCTACCTATGACACACAAGGTATCAGACCACCCAAGGTTGGTGCAATAGTGATGACGCACTAAGGATGTTCCTTCCTTCCTCAGTACTCTACGTTCCTAAGGGTGTCATGTGGACTGGAAGGACGGGAACGGCAGATGCGGCGCTAACAAGCATTGCCGCCATCGTTTGAGCCATTTTCGCTGCTCAGGGTGGTTTGCCCGGGACGAAAACGGGACTGGGGGCGTCTACCACTGCCGTTCTGTGGCTCAATCCGAGTCAATGATTAACGTGTCAACATCTCAATGATACATTTTAGGCAGCAACTCATATGATCATCGAGAATGTCTTGAGTTCTTGGGCTTTTTGTTGGTTGGCAAACAATTATTAGCTGAAATCACAAAACAAACAATTTCGACAGAGTCATGCGAACTCAACGGCTATTCCCAGTAAATTAACCAAAAGTCTCTTTTGAGTTCGAGGTTTTACCTGGCCTTGTAGATCACCTTTATTGGCTGAATTTCTCGGCTGTGTCTTGGTGACGTTCACATGGCTGCGACATCACGTCTCTGCCTAACCGTTCCCAGCAGACGTGACCTCTGTGGCGCGTCGTACATCCCGAAGTGTTCCATCGACAGCCCCTCACATGCCCTCTAGCATTAAGACGTTGCAATGCAGACTACCTACATCGACACAAAGTCGAGGTGGGGGCGACTGATGGCTCACAATGATCGGTACTTGAGAGACTTTGGTAGTCGTATATGTCCATCAAGCCGTTAGAAGTACTACACTAACCTATGGCTATGTCAGTGCCTGAGCGTACAGGCTAATGCTTAGGATCATGGACTCATGGAGTCTCCTGAGACCTATGGCAAAGGTTCGCTTGCAAGTGTAAATGTATGGGTACGCCCGCCCGAGTTGAATAGTGATAGAAGTACATTCAACGGTCTCTCCGATTCTTCCCTATTCCTCTGCGTAGGTAAGTAGTATACGCATGTATAATGTAGGACGTTTCCATTTTTTGCCATCATTCACTCCACCTCACACCCTCTTCTAGCTCCTCTTACCTCCAATCTTCCTCTTCCTCCTCCTCCTCCTCCTCTAATAGCCTCTGTACAGGTAGTCGCACAGCTCTGTCTAGCGCCACAGGCAAACCTCGATGGCGCCCTCTCAACATCACAAGACACAAGACCAGTTTGCTCCCGGGATGCCAACCCCCAGAAAAGCTCATGGCATCTTTAGGCAGTCCCACAGATATGCCAACACAGCCATAGCCCGAAACTACTTCAAAAATGACATTGAAGACCGAAAAGTGTACTGGATCTTCCAGGAAGTGAGACGTCTCTATAGTAACGATGACTAAAACAGCCAGTGCGAGAAGCCATAAATCATGGGCGAGCTGTCCCCGTATTTGCTGGTTCACGAAGCCCATTCGAGTTTCAAACCCGTTGCCTCTCTTATCGGTTTTGGCTGCGCCAACACCAGCAAAGCTGAGATTCTCCCGGAGGAAGTGTGTCAGAATACTGCTACCCACTGGATACCTCTTCTCTTCCGAGTTAGAAGAGCCTGGAGAAATTTCATCGTCGTGGTAGATTCCTAGAGACCGCTCTTCGTAGACGTTGGAGTGTCGCATCGTGATCACCACAGGGTACACGGAGATATACATCATAATAACGTACAATACCTGTAATCCCGGATAGGCGGAGGCTATGGGGATGACGTAGAAGCCTCCAGAGCGAACAGCTTGAACTTCATCAGTAGATGTCGTTTTCTTGGACGATGGCAGGGAATGACTCACCAAAAGCTTGGAACAAGCCGTCCAGAACTCTTGCTCCAGTAGGAATGGCTTCAATAACCGGGTTGCCGATATTGAGAACCTCGAACGCCATCCAGTCAATACCATTCGTCATAATAACCATAAAGAAGAGCCACCACGTCGGCCGTGACGGAAAAAGATTGGTGTAGACTCGACGCGGGTATTTCAGTATGAACTCCAATGTGCTCTTCAGCTCCACTAATGTTCCCTCGGCGGTCAACGCTCGAAGTATCTTTAACGCTGACCAGAAGATGAGCCTCAGAAACAGCGGATAAGCCGTGTTGCCCGCCAATATAAGGAGGCCCATGGTGATAAGTACGAAATATGCCTGCTGGAAGGGCACTACGTTGGCGTCCAGCAACGACATGCCTGAATTGTTGAAGGCTGAGACGGCAAAGAATATGCCGGCCCACCAGGGGTTTGCGCCATTGGACGTCGCGACGGTCGGCATATTGTTCGCGATCCAAGCTCCCAGAGCAAGACAGCCTAGTACTTGCCAGAGCACTGAATACAGTGGGACTACAATTGACAAGAGGTGAAGGGCCCGGTATTCGAGGCCTCCTAGACGGGAGCGTTCGGGCCACGTGAGGGAGTGGAGCTGGGAGTTGCGCGCCTCTTGAGAGGCGCTGAGGAAGGGCAGCCAAGAGCGGGAAGGCTTTTTACCCGAGAGGGTTGATGGTGTTGAGCGGCGGGTAATGTTTCCGGTCGTCTCGATAGTGATGTGGTTCCCGGCGGCTCGAGCCTGAGATGAGGCCCCCAAGTCACCCAAGCCAGTGCCACTCGCGCCCGTTTTCTCTTGAGTCGCAGCAATACTGTTTCTGAATACGGGCAAGCCCCCACCCTGCTGATCTCCCTCATTCCGGGCACGGGCGACCTCTCGGAGGCTCTTTTCAAAGACGTGTTTCCTCGCCACAACTGTCCATATCGAAACCCATACAGAGCTGCCGATAAGAATAAGCAGCCATAACAGCACCTGTTGCCAGACAGTCATCTCGCTGAGATTGACCGTGTTCAGTCCGGCTTCCGTCATGGCGGAGATGACGAGGAATAGAGAGTCGACATAGCTGATGCTGCCGTGTGGATTCGACGAGGCGTAGAAGATTGCCGATGCGAGGAGGGTTGTGCCGATGAAGTAGGCGTAGTGCAGTGTTATGAAGTTCAGAGGTGGTAGAAATGACCGAAATCCGTTCGTTGATGAGTTTTTTCCACCCTGGGCGCGTTGATGAGAAGTCGTCGGTCGTCGTGGCGTTGACATCGTCGGCATCTGGAAATTCAGATTTGCCATTGAGTGCCGAGCCGGCAAAGAAATTAAACTTTCCAGATCGCGATCGCCAAGTTCGATGGATCTGCGCAGCCAAGGTCGGGTTGCTGTCTTCAAGTCTTACTCACCCTTTCCCTCGACAACTTCTTGAGTGATAAAAAGAGTTGCAATATCCACAAAAAATTCGTCAAACAAACTCCTTGCCGTCAACGCAACATTTCGAAACTTTCAACCTTCTCACAGCTCACAAATTGTCGGTGAGAGGGGTTCAGGAGTGGGTAAGATCCACTTGACCAAGCCGAGTCATTCGTCCAAGAAGACAACAAAATTCTGCGCTAAAGGGGCGCCGTCTGTAGAGCCGGGGTTCTTCATCTCGCTTGGCACGTGGGCCCGCTGTAGCTTAATCTCACCGAGCTTCACCGAGGGGTTTGAAGTTCAGGGAACTCTCTTTAGTCTACTGGTAGCAACTCATACAGGTATGAACATGGACTGGAGCTTAGGGACTAAAGGAGGAGAATGAGTGCGGCTTCACAGCAAGCATTTTACAACGAATTCATTTCATAAAGTGGGATACTAGTTCGGGCAAGCCAATTTATTCAAACATCCTACTCGTGAACACCCAGCTACCTTGTTCCAAGACAGCCAAAACCAGCCATGTGATACCAAGCTCCAGAGTCCCTTTTTGTCGTAAGATACCTATGCCATGCTCCTCGGTGTTTGTATACCGGTATAAAATTATAGAGACAAAAGAAAACAACTCCCTTCAGGATTCCTGCAGTCCATCAGCTACCTCTCCGCTTAGAAGCCGAGGAGACCATTGAAGGTGGTAGCAACATCAGCGCTCTTGTCACCGGAAGCCAAGATCTGAGCCTTGGCATCGAGGCACTGGGTCTTGGCGGCGTCGTTGGCCTCGCAGACGTTGGTGAGCTGATCGCAGACGCGGTTGATGATGATGTTGGGGTTCAGAGCGTCCTGCTGGCCCTGAGCGACGAGGGCGTCGGTGGGCAGGAAGGTTCCCTCATCAGCCTTGCGGCCAGCACGGCCGGTCTGGAAGTCAATGGTGGGAGTGCACTTTCCGAAGTCAGCAGCACCAGTGGCAGCTCCACCGTTGTTCGCGTTACCGGCGTTTCCAGTGTTGGCATTGCCGTTGTTGGCGTTGTTATTGCCGTTGTTCTGGTTCTGGTTGTTGTTGTTGTTCGCATTGCCAGTGTTGGCGTTGCCGGTGTTGTTGCTCGCGCCGGCGTTTCCGCTGGCGGCACCACCGCAGGAGCTGCCAGCGTTGGCATTTCCGGTGTTGGCATTGGCATTATCGGCATTGTTGTTGTCGTTGTTGCCGGTGTTCTGGTTGTTGTTGGCGTTACCAGTGTTGGCATTGCCGTTGTTGTTGCCGGCGTTGGCATTGCCTCCGGCAGCAGCACCACCAGCAGCCTGGCCCTTGATGGTGAAGTTGGAGAAGCCCTGAGCCTGCATCACCTCGGCCACAGACAGACCAGTGGCATCAAAGGGGTTCTGAAGCGAAGTGGCCGAGTTGGCATTCTCGGCATCGGATCCGGTGACGGCCGGGTCGACGAGGGGCACGATGCCGCGGAGAGCCTCGGTGGCGGGGAGAGAGGCGTCGCCGCAGATGGCGGGAACGCTGACGACGAAGGGGTTGAAGTTCTGCTCGGCGGCAACGACACCCTTGGCAGCGTCGAGAACGTCGGCACCGGTACCGAGGGCGGCAATCTTGTCGGCGAGGGTCAACTTATCGCAGGGGTCGGCGGCGGCGAGGAGGACACCCGGAATACCTCCAGCGAGAGTGGCGGCTTCACCGGGGTTGCCAGCCTGCAGAGAAGAGACGGCTTGAACGGGGACCTGCTCCTGGCCAAAGCGGGCCTCGACGGTGGCCAGAACGGCGGAGATGAGAAGGATCTTGGAGTAAGACATATTTGCTGATTTGAGGTCGTGGGGATATGGTTGAAGCGACGTTTACTGGGTGTCGAAGAATCGAATGGGGTTTAGAAGTTAAAAGTTGAAAAGATTGTAGTAGACCGGCTAGCGGTTTGTAGTTGGATCAAGACAAGAAAGAGTGTCGAGAACGTAAAAAAGTTCACAGAACTGAAAGATTGAAGAGTAGAGAAGGATGTTTGTTGGTTGCTGGATGAGGAGGGAAGGAGAATAGTTGGGATGGCAGGCGAGATCATCAACATTATATAGATCTAAGAGACTCAGGTGTCAGACGAGTTGTTTCCATGATGCCACGGCTTTGGCGCATAGGCAAGAAGGGGGCAAGACGAGACAGTCTGCGACGATGACAACCCATGATGGGCATCTCCCCATCCCTTCTCGATGCCGTTCCCACTACCTCATACATGGGATCGTAGCCGAGAACGCAAGCCTGCTCTGCCTGCTTTCCGTCTTGCTCAGCCATCAGTAAACGCCGCCTCGTGGGAGAGTACGACTAGGTCGAGCTCGCAACGTGCCGCAGACTCCAGAGTCCTACTCATGGCCCCGACCACCCCCTTAGCGATGATCATACTACAGCAATGGGACGAAATAGCCATGGTGCGGCAAGGACGTCACGGCCACCACAGTGGCCCAAGTCGTCCGCGTGCCGCAAAGTGTCGTCCCAACTGGCCTCACACGCACAGTTTGTCTCATGTCGCCTGGATCGAGGATTCGCCCAGGGAGCATGGGGGTTCGGATGGCCGCCCCCGTCCAGTCTCTTCTGTTCGGGAACGCGGCCGAATTGACATGGAGGTGCCCTGCTGCCAACTCGTGGTTGCTTCGGATCCTGCATGTGCCTAGCCACTGCCTCTTGATGGGGTTACGCTGACTAGAAGTGGTTTAGACCAGGGCGATGACGGCTTGTAGCGAGCTCATAGAGAGAGTTAAGTTAGAGTCCCTGGTCAAAAAGTAGCCAAAATGATGAAAGATGAATGGCGTCAATGGGGAAAAACCCCAACAACATGGATCATCTGGAGGCGAGGGGATTCGAGAAAGGGGGTCTCTGCGCAACAGTGATGTGACAGAGGACCATTCATGGATTAGCGTCCCCCAGGCCCCTAACGCACCCCGGGCCGAGCGTATTACATCCCTGTAGCTTTCGGGGCCGAAGCGATGAAGAAGATGAGAGAAGAAGTCTTCTCCAGCACCCTAAAACTCCCCCGGCACAGCTTAAAACGCGGCATCATGAGATAGAATCCACCATCATGGGGCCTCCACTTGGAAGAGGCATGATGTTGACTTGGACACCCGGCAATTATCCACCATTCAGATCCTTTCTGTCTAGCTTGTCCCACCAGCTTTGGCTACCACGAGAGGGGAGCTTGCGACGCGATGCTCCGGAGGTTTAGGGACTGTATCCTGTGAGAGGAGAACAGAACGACAGTGAGCTGGTTTTGAGGGCTCTGCGACATTGAAGAGGAGTTGTGCTGGGATGGTCATGTTGACAAGAGAAGCATGGGAGCTTTGGACGATGATATGACATTGAACCTTTTGTCAAGTGCCATCCGATGGGGTCTTGACCTCAGTCTACAAACCGAGCTGTCAAAGCATGCGTCGTACTGGTGCGAAAGAATATGACCCTGGGTTGCATTGCCTCGTAGGAGTCGTAGCATTAAGCTCAGTAGGAACCGAAGGTGGCTGCTGGGAGGCTGAGAGCCTGAAATGCATTAGGGCCAGTGTCACGCATGGCCCAGTGGGCTGAAGGTCAGTTAATTAAAAAGTAATCCGCCGCCAGTGCTTGTATTGTGGGCGGTAGTTGGTCCTCCCGGTTGACAGGTCCGATTAATTAAGTGAACCCGTGGCTCTGGTCCTCCTCACATCTCCTCCCCAGGCGATCCAGTCGTGAAAGATTGAGAGCTTGTTTTTTAGACATGTCAATTTCCCCGTAAATGACGTTCAATGGGATGAAATGCATGTTGCAAGTTCACTGTAACGAGAAACAACTCGTTGATCTGCGGCTTGACGAACTCTGATCCAAAACTCATCAGTTATTATGTGGTTTTGCTTGCTCATAGCGTCTTCCCTTGCCGTCGATCCAGATTGACTTTCTATGGTCGCTGGCAGCTGTCAGTCTCACTTGGCTCTTGCATCGTACCCAATGCCTCTGCTCCCAGTCTCACTCTTCACTTTCTCCCTGTTTCCTTGCTTTCTGGCCACTGCCCAGCAACGCTCGGGCTAGAGATCAACACAACTCGCATGGGTGGTACTGCACAATACGACGCGAGACCTGCTAAGCCTAGTGAACCCCATGACCGGCAACGTTCGCTTCGCAAGCGCCTATCTCTCCATATCTCCCCCTTTGACTCCGGCAAAAGACTTGCCGTAGCCCTAGCTAAATTGCATCGGTTCTCTAGCCTACCAAGAACAGCAAGTCAACGGTTGACCGCCATTGACAATGTCCAGTCCAGCCACAAAAGTCAGGGCCTGGCAAGGATCTGTGCCATCCCTGGGTCCGCTGTCCGTCCCATTTGGGCAATCCCAGATTTCGAGATCGCATCGATCAAACAGCCTCATCAGGGGTTCCTGAGACGACTCCAAAACCTTATGGGTCTCGACCCAGTCCAACCAAACAAGAACATTGAAAAACTTACCTATTCGGGCTTGTCTGCCCTTTTGACCGAACAATACGTGCCGTGCATCTCTTACAAAGGAGTTGAGCAGCTGGTCAGTTTTCTCACTCAAGTGACAACATCCCAGGCTTTGTTACCAACGTACGTAGTAGTCAAGACGCTTCACTTGCCGCCTTTCGGTTCGAGGCCCGCCAAGCCGAGGCAGGGCGAAATTCTCTTTTTTCAGCTTCTGTGCCAAGAAGCTGTGTTTTATCCGTGCTTCTCACCATCCCGTTCCTGAATTCTGTTTATTTTGAGATGACTACATCAACAATCTGCCGCAACTCCTGTGATCTTGGAATAGGTACAAGCCGTCTTGGCTGGAACGAATCACGAAAATGGCGGTCCAAGAACCATCAATAAATTTTCATCCAGAGTCGAGGTCGGCATACTCCGAGTTAAGGAAAGATAGGTTCCGATCTTTAATGGACTTGACGCCTGCCTCCTGCGTCCCTGCCACCATCCTACCAAAGTTGACAAGACTTCTCGACGCTTCATGGCGCGGCAGATGGCCAGACCTCGGGGACTGCCGTGACTGCCGTGCATGCACTTGACATCCGGCTTCGGCGATGAGTCGGTATCCGTATTGAGAAGCTATTTTCCTCGCCTTCGACTTGACCTGCCATCGAGTCAGGTAACTTGCATGTCATTCCACCTCAACTTCCTCGTCCTCTGCTCGTTGCATAACATGATCTCCCCAAGCCTCCCCAGCCACAAAGCTCGCCGGACTTCCGAGCTGGCCTGAATCGTCTAGATCCGTCTGAAGTCTGATTTCCTGCCCGTCTGAAGTCTAGATTCTTCCCGTCGGTCCATCTCCTTCTTAGGTCCTTCTAGTATTCACCTCCACCGTTCTGTTCCCGTGGCAGATATCTGCCGTCGCCGCACTGGCCGCGCCCGCGTTCCGTCTGAAGCTCTAGAGCCCCGTCTTGCGGCATTACGTGCCTGGTTGCTCAGCGCATTTCTCAGCGCATTGTGCTCCCACCCACTCACATTTCGGCCTGATTCTCATCCGATCTTTGAGTTGGAGAACGCATGGCGGCTTACCTAAGTCTCATGCCGGCATTATGTGTCAAGAGAGATGACTTTCTGTTTCCGATATCGAAGTGCCTGAGATCATATTCAGCGACGACATTCGCACCCGATAACGTGAGGCAATGCTTTTACTGTCAATCCAAATCCCTCCACAGGTTCTCAGCCACCCCCAAGAACCTTTTTCATACTGCTTAATTTAGTCTAGCAACTGATCGAATCCAGTGGTTTTCTTTCGGCTATGTTATGTCTCTGTTCTTATAGCAGGCACTCGAGGCCAGTTTCGACTCAAC